TATGTATATCCGAAAACACTTAAAAATAAAATATTGAAATAATTTAGATATGCATATCCAAAAATCTCTGAAAGTAAATATGAAATGCGTCTGAATATATACATTCGAAAGATATTTTCGAATTTTAAAGAGTTTAACTCAACATATAGAAATGAACAAAACAATTCTCTAAAATTAAAGCCGCCATATTTGAATTGTGTCATTTTAAAGTGTGAACAAGAATTTTTTCTTATATACTTCTACATGCATATGGACAAGAAAGATATAAACTTATTATACTAGTCACTAATAATAAGAAATTTATTTTGGTTCACACAATCAATCCACTAGTCGCTAATAATAAGTCTTGTGAAGCTGCACTGTCGTCTACCTTGCATTGCATATTCTTTCTGAAACTATTCTTACTCTGTTGAACGAAGTCATGGAGGCTATTGTTGGAGGAGCACTTCTTTCGGCTTCTATGGAGATGTTGGTGAAAAAGGTTGTTTCTGGTGAGTTTCTTGATTTGTTTAGGAGGACTAAGCTTGACGTTGACCTGTTGGAGAAGCTGGAGATAACACTGCTTCGCCTGCAATCTGTACTTCATGATGCTGAGGACAAACAGATCGCTAACCCTGCTGTCAAGAAGTGGCTGGAGATGTTGCAAGATGCTGTATTTGAAGCTGACGATCTGTTCGACGAACTCAACACCGAAGCTTTAAGGTGTCAAGCTGAAGGTGGTCAGGTTCTTAATAAGTTTTTGTCTTATTTTAAAAGGTTTAATAAAAAGATCAATTCTAAACTGCAAAAATTATTCGGAAGATTGGAACATTTAAAAGACCAAAATCTTGGATTGAAAGAAGGTGATTCCAACTGTGTTTGGAATGCAACTCCTACAAGTCCTTTTTTGAGAGATGAATCTGCTATTTATGGCAGAGACGATGACAGAAAGAAACTTAAAGAGTTTTTGCTGTTAGAGGATGGTTGTGATAGTGGAAGTAAAATAGGAGTGATTTCCATTGTGGGTATGGGAGGGTTAGGAAAAACAACACTAGCTAAACTCCTTTACAATGATCCTCGTGTGAAGGAGATGTTTGAAGTCGAAGGATGGGCACACATTCCAAAAGATTTCAATGTCGCCACCATCACTAAAACCATTCTTGAGTCTGTCACCCTAGATACATCTACAGACACTAACTTACTTAAACTCCAAGTTCAATTGCAGCAAAGCTTAAGTAACAAAAAGTTTTTACTAGTGTTGGATGATATGTGGTATGGAAACTATGTTGGTTGGAATAGTCTAATTGATATCTTTAATGTTGGCCAAAATGGGAGTAAGATCATCATCACAACTCGCGATGAAAGAGTTGTATTACCCACGCTAAAATATCTCTGTGTCCACCATTTGAGATCTTTGGAAATCGAAGACTCATGGTCTTTACTAGCCAGACATGCATTTGTAGAAACAAACTACCAACAACATCCCAATCTAGAAATAATTGGTAGAGAAATTGCCAAAAAGTGTGGCGGCTTACCATTAGCTGCAGTGGCATTGGGGGGTATTCTTCGCACCAATTTGTCACAAGATCATTGGAATGATGTATTAAACAATAGTATTTGGGAACATACAAATGATGAGGTGCAACCAGCTCTGCTACTGAGCTATCGGTTTCTTCCAGCTTTTTTAAAAGGATGCTTTGCTTATTGTTCAATTTTTCCAAAGAACTCAATCTTAGTGAAAAGGAGGGTGGTTCAGTTGTGGATTGCAGAGGGCTTAGTACCTCGGCCCGAAAGTGAGAAAAATTGGGAAAAAGTAGCAGAAAAATACTTCGATGAACTAGTGTCAAGGTCTCTGATACGTCAACGGTTCCTTGATCATCAGGAAAGCAACTTTGAAATGCACGATCTCATCAATGATTTAGCTATGACAGTTTCATCTCCATATTGCACTAGGTTAGACAATGATAAGCCAAGTGAAAGAGTAGATAAAAGGGTGCGACACTTGTCATACAACAAATCAGTATATGAACCCGAAGATAAATTTGATGAATTACATGGATTAAAAGGTTTACGAACCTTTCTAGCCACACATGCCATTTCATTGGAGTTATTTTCTGACTTGTTGTCGACAATGACACAATTACATGCTTTGGAGCTTTCATGCTGCATAAATATGGTTGAGTTGCCCAAATCTATTGGAAATTTGATATGTCTGCGATACTTGGATCTCTCTACCACTCAGATTAAAAGGTTGCCTTCAGAAACATGCAAGCTTTACAATTTGCAGACTTTGTTGCTGTCATTCACACAACTCATTGAATTGCCAAAGGACATGGGGAAATTGGTGAAACTACGCCACCTTGATATTAGATGCACTAAATTGAAGAAAATGCCGGCACAGATATCCAAATTAGAAAATCTACAGACATTGTCAGACTTTATTGTGAGCAGCGTTAAGGAAGTAGGGTTGAAGATTGAGGATCTTGGAAAATATCCTCATCTATCAGGAAGCCTTTGCATCTCGCAACTTGAAAATGTAACTGACCCATCCCATGCTTCTCAAGCAAACTTGGAGATGAAAATGGAAATTGACGAGTTGGAACTAGGATGGTCTTATACGGCTCCTTCAAACTCAGAAATACAAAGTTTTGTATTGGAACGTCTGCGCCCATCGACGAATTTGAAGCGTCTGACCATCTCCGGATACAGTGGAGACAAATTACCAAATTGGTTGGGCGACCGTTCGATGATATGTCTTCAAAAGATGACCTTAAAAAACATTCCATCTCTAACATCCTTTCCGAGCGACTGTCTTCCCAAAACCTTACAATCTCTCAACATAGATGGTTGTGATTCATTTACATCATTTACTCTGTGCTCTCTCCCTGTCCTCAAAATTCTAAGTATTTTTTGTTGTAAACTTCTAAAATCCATATTAATTGCAGAAGATGCATCGAAACAGAACCTCTTGTTTCTTAGAACCATCTATATATGGAAATGCAATGAATTGGAGTCGGTTTCTCTGATTGGATTGCCTATTCCTAACCTCACTGATTTAAGTGTTAGTACGTGTGAGAAGTTACGTTCTCTACCTGAATCAATAAAGACTCTAACGAGCCTTCAAAAAATGAAAATTGTTGACCTTCCAAATCTGCAATCGTTCTCCATACATGATTTGCCTATCAGCTACGATACTTGTGGATTGGCAAGGTTGGAGGGATTTGGTGGAATACAACTTGGGAACATCTCACTTCTCTTTCAAGGTTGGATACTTGGGGTGATGATATTGTGAAGGGGCTGATTGAAAGGCAAGTTCCGTTTCTACCCACTAATCTCGTTTCCTTACGTATCTATTGCCTTGAAGATGTGGAATGCTTGGATGGGAAGTGGCTTCAACATCTCACCTCTCTCCATACACTTGAGATTTATATTTCACCAAAGCTCAAGTCGTTGCCAGAAAAGGGGGATTTGCCTTCCTCTCTTAAACAACTGCGTATCATAAGTTGTCCATTATTGGAACCAAATTTGAAGATGAAGCAAGGGAAAGAGTGGCTTAAGATTTCTCACATTCCCGAAATATATGTAAACTACCAAATCATCGACTGAGTATTATTACATCAAGGTGAGTCACCAAAATACTTATTTCATCTTATAAATGTCAATATGATGATTTAATATTGTTATTTTATTAGCTGTCAATCCCTGTCATGGATTTCCATTAAACTGTTTGTTTCATATATTTAATTTACTGGAAACTATTAAAACAATGTTTTTGATATCCCAAGTTCAATAGAATAATGTTAATCTGCAAAACTGGTTTGGAATTTGATTAATCTGCCTCAGTTTAGAGATCATGCTTTGATGGATGAACTTTTAATCTGTAACCAAACTGGTTGTGAACAATGAATCATAGCTTAATATGTTCAGGGTCATATGGCGTGTCTTCTTTGAGCTTCTTATATGGACCTCACAAACAAATGACTTTGGAAATTTTAAAACATGTGTTTTTGTCCTAGTAAGTTACAATGCTTTTGATGCTGGTGTGTAGATGAATTTCAATCCCAACTTTCAAAGCATGGAAGTATTCAAGAAAAAGTACTTCTATGACTCGCATGCCATGACTGTAAGTGTCCCTATTCCATTTTCACTGGAATGATCCCTAAATTAGTACTATGAATATTGGTGCATGTTGTTTCTATTCATTTTAAAGCCAAATTATGTTCCTATAACAGGGCTTCCTCAACATTGTCCTGCATGGCTTGGGATAGCTAGTACTTTTCCAGAAGAGGTGAAAAATCATGCCCCAACTGCAGTTCATATGGAATGTTGGATGGAAAGTGGCTTCAACATGGTTGCAACTTGAGTATCATCTCAGCATGATTATAGATTATGAATTGATCATATTCACATGAGTATCATCTCTTAGTGAGTTGCAAGAACATGAGTATCATCTCTTAGTGAGTTGCTTTCATCCTCTTGCAACTATGTGTCTCAATTTTCTAATTTTGTTTCACTTGCATGCAAGTTTTTTTATTGTTCTTCTGTTAATATTTACAATGATGCATGTATAAAAATTGATATTTTTTTCGCTGTCAATAGAATCATGAGGGCATTGTGGTTACTATATTTTTTTATGGAAAAAAATAAATAAAAAGAAGAGAGAAGTGAATATATGAACCGAAACTAGTTAGCTAAATTCTTATGTGTGGTCTAACATGAATTGTTTGGTTATCTTGTTGCAACGTTTTATCATTTTAAGATTTTTTTTCATTATGTTCATTATGGGATTGATTGTTTTTTCTAATAAGATATTTTTATTCAGAAGATAGATTCTAAGATGAAGGAGATTCTACAAGAGCAAATTACAAAGCTAGAGACAAAACAATTGTATGTGTTTTCTCAATCTGTTTTGTATTACCACTTTTCTTTTTCTATTGTCTACCACTTACTTATAAACGATTTTCTGCTCAATAAAGGGCTATCTTTTGTCCAGAAAAGAAAGGTTTTATGACTTTGGAATAATGGACCTCACAAACCAACGCGATCGCCAAAGAGTGTATGTGGCATTTAACCAAATGAAGCACTCTACAAGGCTACATGTTCGTAACTATTTTTATGAAGATATCGATTTCAGTTTGATGTATATCTGTTCATTCCTGTCTTTAAAGATAATGTATAGTTTCTCATACTGCACAATATCTGTTAAATTGTAATTCGATTGTGTCGAAAAGATTAGATTTATTTTAGATTTAAATAGATTTGATTTAGATCTAAAATAGAATAGATTTGATTTAGTATCCAAATAGGTATTTTGGCTTTTACCGTTTTGGGCTTAGGGTGCAAGCTAAATATATAAATAGAGGGAGTAACCCCTATTTTTGTAATCAAGTCAATTAAGTTGTATTCACAGAATTTGCAGTTGCAAGTGAATAACAAAGTTTTTCATAATTTGTGGGCGGAGAGAAACTCTCCAGAAAATAATTGTCTTCTTTTTCGTTCTCATAATTCATTGTCATTGAGGAGAAATTCATCATAGATATTTAGTGGATTTCCAACATTTGGTATCAAGAGCTCAGTTTTGATTCAAGGGAAGTATCAATCAAGAACGATTGAAGAATTCACGATGGCGAATTATGGGAATGCAAATTATCCAGCAACTCTACCAATTCTGAAAGTAAACAACTACGAGAATTGATGCAAACATATGAAAGTGTTATTCAAGAGTCAAGGACTTTGGGACCTTGTAAAAGATGGAGTCGAAGCGCTTAGAGAAAACGCTTCAGAAGAAGAAAAGAAGAAACACATAGAAATTGAGAAGCCGAGTTATAAAGCACTATTTATAATTCATCAATGTGTGAGTCCAGAAAACTTTGAAAAAGTAAGTGATTCAGAATCTGCAAAAGAAGCTTGGGATGTTCTTGAGAAGTTCTTTGGTGGTGTAGAAAAAGTGAAAGAAGTGATGTTACAAACTCACAAGAGAGCGTATGAATTGCTTCAGATGAAAGATAGTGAAAACATATCTGATTTCTTCACTAGAGTTACAAAACTAGTAAATCAAATCAAGGTATGTGGAGAAACATTAACAACAAGAGTTGTTGTTTCGAAGATTTTGAGATCTTTAGCTCCTAAGTTCGACCACATAGTGGTGGCGATAGAAGAGGGGAAAGACTTGTCGAAATTGACAAAGGAAGAGTTTCAAGAGACGCTTGAATCTCATGAACAAAGAATGGACGAAATTGCTGCAGGAAAATCGAAGAGTGATGTGGCTTTGCAGGCACATTCAGCAAAAGAAACCAAAAGCAAAGGAAAGTGTTTCGACAGAGGTAGATGTGGATACAACAAATCGAATGGTAGAGGAAACCAGAACGAAGAAAAATTTTCGAATCAAAGAAGACCATACCAAGGAAACCGAAGACGTGGTGTTGCAAATAGAGGAAGAGGTGGTGGTCGAAAACCTGATAAGAGTCACATTCAATGTTACAATTGTCATAAGTATGACCACTATTCGAGTGATTGTCCAGAAAAATGAAAGAATCAAGAAAGTGATGCAAAGCTTGCAAAACATGAAGAAGAAGAAGAAGAAGAGATGATGCTGATGGTCACAACAAGAGATGAAGATAGATTCAAGGACCAATGATACTTGGACTCAGGATGCTCATCACATATGTCTGGAAGGAAAGACTGGTTTGTCAACATAAATCCCTCAATGAAAAATATGATAAAATTCACAAATGACAATACCCTAGCAGCTGAAGGTATTGATGTGTTATGATTGTGAGGAAAGATGGCAAGAGGTCAGTAATTTCCAATGTGTTGTACATACCAGACATGAAGAGAAATTTGCTCAGTATATGGCAGTTGGTCGAAAAGAATTATAAAGTGTCAATCGAAGATAAGATGATGAGAGTCATCGATGCGAATGGAAGATTAATCTTGAAGGCTCATATGTCTCAGAATCGAACCTTCAAGGTCGAACTAAATGTCATGGAGCACAAGTGTCTTTCGACTGCAGCTAGCAGAGATGAATGTATATGGAATTATAGACTAGGCCATCTCAACTTCAGAGACATCATAGATTTGAAGAGAAGAAATATGGTTTCAAGATTTCCAGAAATCGACATTCCAAACGAGGCATGTGAGGAATGTGTGCAGGCAAAGCAACACAAAATAGCTTCAGTAAGGATGCAGGAAGCAGGTCGAAGGCTATTTGTGATGCAGTGGGAGAACTGACTTGAGGTTTTGCGTTTGATCGCAAATGTTGCGGTTAGCAAGAGTCGCCACCGACTTTTCTTTTATCCAAAAGGAAAGGTAAAAAAGCACAGGAAAGACCTTTGAGATTGTTTCTTGAGTCCGGAGGGTAGATTATAAAAAGGGAAGGTATTAGCACCCTTTTCATCCATGGTTATCCATGGGCTCTTAGTTACTTGCTAGATCACTTGCTTTTGTTTGAAATTGTGCTTTGTGTGGTTTTTTGAAAGTATTTTGTAAAAGAGGCCATTGTTTAGGAAATCTTTGTAATGATTCTCGTTCGTAAGAATGTATACAAGGATGTTGATCTTTTTGAAAACGTCTTCAATGTTTGTAAGATGTTTGAAAATGTGTAGGTGTTTGTTTTTGAAAATAGCAAGGATATTTGTTTTGAAATGGAGCAAGTAACTAAAAGTAATCTACCTACTCAAATGTCTTTCTTGTTCATTTTCTTTTCCTTTGACATTATTGTCTTGCCATTGATTTGGTAAGCAACCCTATCTTTGGATGTAAACGGGACGGGCGTGGGTCATCGTATAACCATGATTAGCAATGTTGCAAGGTACCTTAGCATTTTTGAGGGACTAAGATCATTTTTGTAAGACAACTTTGAATAGCGTCATCGAGGGACTATGATCTTGTATTTGTTTGTTTTTGCTAAGACACCTTACATGTGTAATATGGTCATTTTTGTATAAGGCAACCAAGTGGGATAATCCTAGAGGTGTTTTGTGCGCAAGTGTGTCATTTTCATGCTTGATTTTGTCTTGGATTAGGGTTTTCTATTTGATTGGTTTTATCTTTCCATACAAACCCTAATTACTAGAAGGTTTATCGAAGGTTTTTCTAAGTTGGAACTTCCTTTGACTAAGTTAACTTGTAAAGGTAGTGCTTTTGTATGGGATGTTCAGTGTGAAGAAAGTTTTGCAAAATTGAAGAAGAGATTGACGTCAGATCTGATTTTGACATTACCTAATCCAGGAGAACCTTTTGTGGTATATTGTGATGCTTCCAAGATGGGTTTAGGAGGTGTGCTTATGCATAATGAAAAGGTAGATGCTTATGCGTCAAGACAGTTGAGGATTCATGAGAAGAATTATCCTACGCATCATTTAGAACTTGCTGCAGTTGCTTTTGTGCTGAATATTTTGAGGCACTATCTTTATGGTTATAGGTTTGAATTATTTAGTGACCATAAGAGTTTAAATTATTTATTTGATCAGAAGGAGTTGAATAAGAGACAACGAAGATGGTTGGAGTTATTAAAAGATTATGGTTTCAGTTTGAGTTATCATCCAGGTAAAACTAATGTCGTGGTTGATCTTTAAGTCGAAAGACCTTACATATGTCGGCAATGATGGTTAAAGAATTGGAATTAATCGAACAATTCATAGATATGAGTTTAGTTTGTGAAGTGACACTGCAGAGTGTTATGTTGGGAATGTTGTAAATTAACAATGAATTTCTGGACAGTATCAAAGAAGCTCAGAAGTTAGACGTGAAACTGGTAGATTCTATGGTTGGAATTGATCAGTCTGACAATAGTAATTTCAAGTTAGATGCACAAGGTGTGTTGAGATTTCGTAATCCGATTTGTATTCCTGATGATGCAGATATGAAGAAAGTGATTCTCGAGGAAAGTCATAAAAGCAAGTTGAGCATTCATCCGGTAGCTACAAAAATGTATCAAGATTTGAAGAAATTGTTTTGGTGGCCTGGAATGAAGAGTGACGTGGCTCGGTTTGTGTATGAATGTTTAACTTGTCAGAAGTCGGAATTTGAACATTAGAAGCCTGTGGGGTTGATGCAACCGCTAGAAGTTCCATAATGTAAATGGGATAGCATTTCGATGGACTTTGTGACAGGATTACCTAATACTTCAAGAGGACATGATTTGATTTGGGTGATAGTTGATAGGCTTACGAATTCGGCTTATTTTATTCCTATTAACATCAATTTTCCAGTATCAAAGTTGGCAGAGATTTACACTAGTGTAATTACAAAGTTGCATGGTGTTATTTTATGTATTGTGTCGGATAGAGATCCGAGGTTTATGTCTGATTTTTGGAAGATTTTACAAGAGGCATTGGGTTCTAAGTTGAGTTTAAGTTCGACGTATCATCCTCAGACGGATGGTCAAACTGAAAGAACTATTAAGTCGTTGCAAAATTTGTTGAGAGCATGTGTTCTTGAACATGGAGGTTTGTGGGATACTTATCTTCCATTAATAGAGTTCACTTATAATAAAAGTTACCATTCTAGTATTGGAATGGCTCCTTTTGAACCATTGTATGGTCGAAGATGTAGAACTCCTTTATGTTGGCATGAATCTGGAGAAAGTATAGTGCTTGAACCTGAAATTGTTCGAGAGACTACTGAGAAGGTGGAGTTGATTCGAGAAAAGATGAAAGCTTCCCAAAGTAGACAGAAGAGTTATCATGACAAGCAAAGGAAAGATTTAAAATTTCAAGCAGGTGACCATGTTTTCCTGAGAGTCACGCCCGTGACTGGTGTTGGGCGAGCATTGAAGTCTAAGAAGCTCACTTCTTGTTTTATTAGTCCGTATCAGATTTCAGAAAGAGTTGGGAATGTCGCTTATAGAGTGGCTTTAACGCCTAATCTTTTGAATTTGCATGATGTGTTTCATGTGTCACAACTCCGGAAGTATATTTCAGATCCATCTCATGTGATTCATATAGATGATGTGCAAGTACGGGATAATCTTATTGTAGAGACGATGCCTGTACGAAACGCGGATCGTGAAATGAAGACTCTAAGAGGCAAGGAGATTGCTTTGGTGAAAGTAGTCTGGTTAGGAGCTGCCGGAGAAAGCATGACGTGAGAGTTGGAAAGCAAGATGCGGGACTCCTATCCTGAGTTGTTTGAAGAAGGTAAATTTGCGAGAACGAAAATATTCTAAGTGGGGGAGAGTTGTAACGCCTGTTTATTTAAATAATTATTTAAT